GTTTCGGTTTTGGTGGTAGGAACGAGGAGGGGCGTACATTGCTTGAATTTGCTACTGCACACGATATGGTGGTCACTAACTCCTTCTTTAACAAGAGAGATCTGAACTTGATTACGTTCCATAACGGGGGACATTGTACCCAAATCGACTACATCTTGGTTTAAAATCGGGATCGATGGGGTTGCATTGACTGTAAGGTTTTCCTAGAAGAGGCATGTGCATCACAACACAGATTGTTGATTTTGGTGTTCCGCATACGCCACGGGCGGAGCACTCATAGGAGGGCTAAACTAGATAAACCTAGGATCCTTTGGAAGAACTTACATGGAGTGACAGCTGATGACTTTAGGAGTAAGGTTTTGTCTCATAAAGGTTTTGGAACTACAAACTCAAATAATGCAGATATGTTATGGAATACTATGGCAAATTCCATCAGAGAGGTGGGCAAAAACACCCTTGGGTTGTCGACAGGGAAGGTCAAGGAACATAAAGAATCGTGGTGGTGGAACGACGAAGTCCAAACTAAGGTGAAAACAAAGCAAACTTACTTCAAGGAGTTGCTACAATGCAACGACGACGAAGAAAGAACGAGAGCTAAACAAAGATACAAGGAGGCAAAGCGGGAAGCCAAGATAACAGTGGCAAAAGCAAAGGATAAGGCATACGAGGAAATGTACAAGAGATTAGACACCAAGTAAGGACAAAACGGCATCTTCAAGCTTGCAAAATCCAGGGATAATAGGAAAAAGGATCTAGGTAGCATTAGGTTTATTAAGGACAACAATGGTGTTCTTTTAGTGAAAGATCACGATATTAAGAGGGCTTGGGGTAGTTACTTCTTTGGATTATTTAATAACAATGACTCTCCCTATAGAGATAGTAACATTGATGGGTCAGCCGACCATCATACCACGACCAATGACTGCCCTACAAGTAGGATTGGGATTGAGGAAGTCAAAATGGCCCTTAGAAAGATGGGGAGGGACAAAGCTGTCAGTCCATATCAAATTCCTATCACTATGTGGTTAAACCTGAGAGAAGAGGGAGTAAAGTGGTTGACCAACATCTTTAATATTATTTTAGAGACTGCCAGGATGCCAGAGGAGTGGAGAGAGTCTACGGTGATACCAATTTATAAGAATAAAGGAGATCCCCAACGTTGTGGTAACTACAGAGGTATTAAACTACTCAGTCATACCATGAAGTTATGGGAAAAAGTGATAGAGGATAGGTTGAGACAGGTTACTAGGGTTTCGAAAAACCAATTTGGATTTACGCCAGGCAGGTCTACTACGGAGGCGATTCATCTACTTCGACGGCTTATGGAGAAATATAGGGAAAAAAACAGAGATCTTCACATGGCGTTCATTGACCTCGAGAAGGCGTATGATAGCGTACCTCGCGATACGATCTGGAAGACCTTGGAAACGAGACGGATCCAAACTGCTTATATCCGGGTGATTCGTGATATGTACTGTAGATCTACTAAATACGTCAGGACTACAGTTGGCGATACCGAGGCATTCCCGGTGGAAATTGGACTCCACCAGGGGTCGGATCTTAGCCCTTACATCTTTGCCTTGATTATGGATGACATCTATTGTGCGACACCAGACGGTGTTCCATGGTGTATGCTTTTCACTGACGACATTGTCCTAGTTGCTGAAACAAAAAATGAGCTGAGTAGAAGGCTGACTACCTGGAAGACTGCTTTGGAAGAAAAAGGTCTAAAGATCAATATTGAAAAGACAGAGTATTTATGTTCAAACTTTAGTGGGAACCAAAACGATGAATATGTAGAATTATGCATCGAAGGACACGTCCTCCCCTCAAAGGATTATTTCAAGTACCTAGGGTCTATGATACATAAAGATGGGGGTGTAGATAATGACGTTACACACCGTATAAAGGCGGGATGGCTAAAGTGGAGGGTTGCTACTGGAGTTTTGTTTGACAAGAAGGTGCCTCTAAAACTTAAGGGAAAATTTTATAGAATGGCAATAAGACCAGCGCTGCTGTATGGATCAGAATGTTGGGCAATCAAGAAAGATCACGTAAGGAGGATGGAGACCGCAGAAATGAGAATGCTTCAATGGATATGTGGTAAGACTCTGTGGGATATGACACCAAACACTGTAATTAGGAAGTCATTGGGGGTGGTGCCTGTATCCGAAAAAATGAGAGAGGGAAGACTAAGGTGGTTTGGCCATGTCCTTAGGCGACAACCATCGGATGCGGTCAGGAGGGTAGAATTGATTATAGTCAACGGTTCCAGAAAGAGATGACGACCAAGGAGGAAGTGGGTTGACTGCTTGAGATCTGATTTGAAGGATTTAGCCCTTACTGAGGACATGACCTCTGACAGGAAAGTATGGAGACTTAAGACCAGGGTAGCCGAGTAGTTTGGATCACAACCATAGGGTGTAGCATCTCTGTCTTCTTTTTAATATCTTTATAGTAATTTCCATGACTTCTACTTTTTATATGGTTTTCTGTCATTGGAATTTATGAAGACTTAGAACTAAGGTAGCGGAGTAGTGTTAGCTAAGTTTAGGTTTTAACCCAATTGACTTTATTCCTTCTCGTAACTTGCTATCGCTGACTACTGTAGATCATTCTCTTCATGTTTACTTTTTTTTATTTAAATTTCGCCTGACTTATGTTTCTGTCTATATGTAGAGATTTTTACGCAGGAATTTATTTGCAGATATTACTTCCCATTATAGATGTGCATATGAAGACTACTTATGAATGATTGTTCAACTTTGTATTTATTTATACATGCATTGTATTTTATCTTTATTTTTAATTTTCTGACTGCCGGAGGTCTTTCACGGAAGTTGCTCTCTACCTGGCGTTGGGGGCAACCTACTATCCTACCTCCCCCTTACCCCATTACATATGGGAATAGGGTTTTGTTGTTGTTGTTGTAATAGATGGAATGAAGAATTACTCAACAGTCTTTTCAATTCTAATAAGGTTCAAGCGATTCTAGAAATTCCTTTATCTGCTAATGGTCGTGCATATATGTTAGTATGGAGCGGGGAACATACAGGATGTTATACAGTGAGAAGTGGCTACAAATTATTGCTTGACTCGCTAAATGTGCAACCAAATGATAAATTAGTATTTAAAGCATTATATCATGTAGATGGTCCTGCGAAAGTGAAAATTCAAGTTTGGAGATTTCTCATGAACTATGTTCCAACTAAGAGCAACCTATACACAAAAAGAATTGCTAATGATCCGTATTGCCAGAACTACAACCATATTGTTGAAGATACAATTCATATTGTTAGAGATTGTACTTTAGCTTATAATTGTTGGACTGCTATGGGTTATATTTGGCCTATATCAGGTTTAGTAATGCCTTTTTTTGATTGGTTTTGGTGGCTTTTTTTATCACTTTTCAGGGGCTCGTAGAACAGAAATTATAATCCTAATTTGGTCTCTTTGGATAGCAAGAAATAAACAGTACCATGAAGGCATTAGACAAAGATATAAAGATGTCATTACCTTCGTTCGTGGCTACTATATTGAATGGGCTCTGTTATCAATTCGGGTGTAAAAAATCCATCCCCAACAAATGACTCGATGGAAAGCTCCACAGGAACCTGCAATGAAAGTGAATGTCGATGCTAGCTATGTTTCTGCCGATCGAAGGGCCATAACAGGAGCTATCATTCGAGACCATGAGGGTTATGGAGCCTCTCGAAGAATTTGTCCTTCCACCCCTTCAGCCTTTGCAGCAGAAGCTACTACTGTTCTCCATGGCCTTTGCCTAGCTGCTGATTTGGGTTTTCGATCAGTTTGGGTTGAAAGTGACACTTTAGCAATTGTCAAAATTCTTAATTCAAGTTTAGTTGACAAATCGGAAATCGGAAATCGGAAATCGGAGCTATTGCCTGGGATTCGAAGGTGAAAGCAACCCATTTCGAAGAGTGTAAATTCCTTTTTGTTTCAAGGCAAGGAAATCGTGTGGCACATGCAATAGCGTTTGAGGTGCATTCGGAGATCACTGAAGAATTTTGGGTGGAAGATCACTTGAAGACAACTTAAAGGCTTTTATTTCTTGAAGTCTGTTTTAAGCCTTTAAGTTGTCTTTAAGTTTCTTTTGCTTTTGTAATATTCTCTCTCTTCGATAATATACCAGGCGGTTTTATGTGGGAAAAAAATATAACTTTATTTTTCTTATAAAAAATTGAACTTATCAAATAACATTCTACAAATTTAATAATTCCGTTTAGATATAAAGGATTAAACTTTTAATCGTATTTAGGCACTAATATTTCTCCTCTAAATAAATTTTACACATGGAAGCCATAAATAGAGTTCATGCACAAGCTTTACCCTCAAGTAAAGAAACTAAGCTAGAAGCATCCACGACGCTTGTTAATACCGCAACGTTCTGACTTTATCCGTTGGTTTTCAGCAGGCAAGCACGACGCATATACATTTCCTCTGTTGCAAATCACAATCGGCCGCCTACGGATGTGGGAGCGACTTATCAAATATCTAAAGTTGAAAAGCATTCTACCGATATCAGGGTCCATTAAGAACTCCGATTCCATGTCGTCGCTCCCGGCTAAAGTGGCAGTGGAGTCGACCTTCTCCGTCAGTGAATATTTACCAGTAGTGGGAGTCCAGATAGGTATCGCATGCATTGACTTGTCAACCGGATTCAATTTCTGTTAAACAAAATATTCCATTCTCAAACAAAGAATAAAAAAGTAGATAGAAATTTAATGCTCCAGCAGATATCTCTCACTGCATCTTATTATTTGGAGAATAGCACCAACCAAGTCCGGCCAACAGGTCCATCACCAACTAGTCCTCCATGACCGATACGCAACAGCGTAATGATAGTAACATAACAAAGATATTTCCAAATGGTTATCAAATCAGTTTACAATTTGTATATAGAAAACAAATGTGGAAATATGGAACAAGTGAAAGAGAGAATGTTGCATGAAAATTCAAACGTGGAACAAAGGAAAGAGTATTCATTTTCAAGCTTTGTTCATCTTTCATCCCTTTCTTCAATATGCATCTTTCTCTGGTTCTCTGTTTTTCCCCAGCAATGGAGAAATCAAGCAAAAGAAGTAATTTTTCCCTTCAAAACCTCGTATTTCTCCTGCATCTTTTTCTCTTCTTCCTCATTGAATACCTCGCCGTTCCTGTTACAGGAGATACCCCTGTACAAAACATCACGATTGATTGTGGTTCTTCCACGGGTGGCACATCTCAAGATCAACGTCCTTGGCTCGGAGATGGCAATGGGAAATTCAGCCCCATAGAGCAACCGAACAATAAGAACAAGTCATTAGCGATTCCATCTCAATCGCCCTCAAAAGTTGATCCGGTCCCTTACTCCACAGCTCGTGTATCTAACTCAGAGTTCACCTACTTAATTCCCCTCACCACAGGGCCAAAGTTCATTCGCTTCTACTTCTATCCAACTTCATATTCAGGCTTTGGAGACCTTTCTAATAAAGCTTTCTTCTCTGTTAAAGCTGGCCAGTTTACCCTTCTTCGGAATTTCAGCGCTGTACTTCATGCTCGAGGTGAACTTACACTCGTCAAAGAATATTGTGTAAACGTTGATGAAGGTCAGAGGTTAAACTTAACTTTCATCCCAAGTCCTGATATCACTGGTTCTTATGCCTTCATCAATGGAATCGAAGTTGTTTCCATGCCAGCCAATCTATATTATAGAGCACCCAATTATGAAGATGGAGTACCTTTTCTGGGCCAGGCCCAGGGAAAATCATACCCCCTAGGAAACGACACTGCCATTGAGCTGATGTATCGAGTCAACGTTGGTGGGAGGGAAATCTCGCCAGGAGAAGATACTGGGATGTTCCGGCACTGGATATATGATCGCGATTATTTGACAATAGCGAAACCAAGTGCTCTTCCTGTTAATAAGAGTATTAATCTCACCTTCAGCAGTATCCCATCGTTCTCTGCTCCAAGGGAGCTTTATCTAACTGCGAGGTCCATGGGCAGGAACAAGACCGAGAATGACAACTACAATCTGACATGGGAGTTTCCTGTTGATTCCGTGTTCGATTACTTGGCAAGGTTACATTTTTGCGAGTTCGAGAGAGAGATAACGAAACAAAGTGATAGAGTCTTTGAGATTTTCTTGGCTAATTTAACTGCGGAAACTGAAGCAGATGTTATAGAATGGAGTGGCGGAAACGGGTTTCCAGTGTATCGGGATTATGTAGTGGCAATAGGAAACGAAGGAAATCAAAAGCAGCAAAATCTCTCTATTGCTTTGCATCCTTCGCCAGCTTGGAGAACTCATTATTCTGATGCAATATTGAATGGGGTAGAAATCTTCAAATTGAGCAAAGATTTGGTTTTAGCCGGACCTAATCCTGATCCAATCCTGATAAATAAACAAGGAAATGCACCACCAACCTCAAGCAAATCCAAGGACGACAAGAAAGCAGTATTCGGCATTGTGGGGGGCGTAATATCGGGCTTCGTTGTTCTTTCTCTTCTTTGTTTCTTCATTTTCCTTCGAAATATGAGAGTCAAAGATACCGGTTCCAATAAGGGAGTTTTACAGTTGACTCAGGTTTCCTCTACAATGAAATCATCCAAACCAACCGAGCCTCGTGGCTCATCTCTGCCTTCTGATCTTTGTCGCTGCTTTTCACTAGCTGAGATCAAAGGAGCCACCAACAACTTCGACGATGTTTTCATTATTGGTTTCGGAGGCTTCGGCAACGTGTACAAAGGATTCATCGATGGTGGTGCTACCCAAGTTGCAATCAAGCGGTTGAACCCGGGGTCTCAACAAGGTGTTCATGAATTCCGGACTGAGATCGAGATGCTTTCCCAGCTACGCCACATTCACTTGGTCTCATTGATAGGCTACTGCAACGATGGAGGCGAGATGATCCTCGTATATGATTACATGTCCCATGGGACACTTCGTGATCATCTTTACAACACCGACAACCCTCCACTTCCATGGAAACAAAGGCTAGAAATTTGTCTTGGTGCAGCAATTGGGTTGCAGTATCTTCACTCAGGTGCTAAGCACACAATCATTCATCGAGACGTCAAGACAACAAATATCCTGTTGGATGAGAAATGGGTGGCTAAGGTTTCGGATTTCGGGTTGTCTCGAATTGGCCCCACGAACATGTCCCAAACCCATGTCAGTACGGTAGTTAAAGGCAGCTTTGGTTATTTGGATCCCGAGTATTCCCGTCGTGGACAGCTAACTGAAAAATCCGATGTATACTCATTTGGGGTGGTCCTTCGTGAAATTTTATGTGCTAGGCCACCACTCAGCCGCTCGGCCGAGAAGGCTCAGATAAGCTTAGCACAATGGTTTCAACAATGCCATCAAAATGGAACACTTGACAAAATCATCGATCCATTTTTGAAAGGTAAGATTGTACCCGAGTGTTTGAAAAAGTTCACTGAAGTGGTAATGAATTGCTTAGATGATGAAGGAACAGAGAGGCCATCGATGGATGGTGTCGTATGGGGCCTACAGTTCGCACTGCAATTGCAAGAACTTGTGGAGGAGGGGCTTACGGAAAATGCCGGTGCCGGCATCCAAGGAGACATCATTGCGGAGACCCCTTATACAGGCTACGAAATGGAAGATGACAGTGGGGAAGTGTTCAGTAGCATTGGCAGTCATGTCATGAATTCCAAGAGCATTAGTACTTTCAGTTTAACAACAAGTGATGAACAAAGTTTTATGACAAAGGATTCTGATAAAAACTTGTCCAAGGCTGTGTTTTCTGAGATTAGAGATCCCCAAGGGCGATGATCGAAACATAAAAGCTTGTTGATGAGGAATCTTGAGAGTAATGCCAAGTTCATTTGAGAAAGGTCCAATAGATATTTTCCAGAAAAAGAAATCGTATTTCAATAGTAGATATTTCAAGGTAGTTTCATGTAAGTTTAGATCAACGAAACAATCATAACAAATCAGCAGTGATAGAACTGCATCTCAGTTGCCCTCATCATTGGATAAGGTCTCTCATTTCACAGCTCGTCCATCTCAAGAGTTCACCCATTCAATTCCCCTCACCGCAGGCCCAAAGTCCATTACTATTTTTACATTATGATATTTCATTTCGTGCAAAGTTATTTTAAGAGAAAAATATAAGTCAATATAGATACAATGATATAAGCATATCGATTACGATTAAGCATCAAAGATCTCACTAAACAACCCAGAACTAAATGAAAAGAAGAAAAAAGGAAACAGGTGGATACTGGCAAATGTACCACTCATCTTTTTAATTTGTGGAAGCCACGATTGAACGTATTCCCTCCACAATTTTCAGATCTTTTCACATTTATTTCCCGGTGGAGCGCATGAGTAGCCGTACTTATCACGATCACAAGCTGCAATGTGCTTAAGGGCGTTACTCGACGGCCGTCCACCACCTTTCTGCATCATTCTTCTTGTTTCCGACTCCACCAAGTTGAATCCTAGTCTAAAGCATTCAGCGGACGAGCCGTTGCAGTGGAAGAAGCCGAGGATGTTACTCTTCTCCGGTGAATCTAAAGCATAATGGCTTTTGCAGCATGGAATCATTATCAGAAGCAGAATTGCTAGATGTACAGTACTAATTTGGGCTTTAAGGTGATAAGGATCTCCCATGTTTTCCCGTAACTTAGCATGTGAGATCACTGGTTTAGAAGATGTGATTTATTAATGGATATTAATAATAAAGACATATGGGGTGGATACAGTGATTTATTATTTTTTGACTGATACAGAGAAAAGTGGTTGCCAAATAATTTACAAGGCCCGCTTGACTTGAAGATCTGTCGTCATCTGCCGACTGTCGATATGTTTTTTGTCCTCTTCAACGTGTGTTCGATGCAGACGTGTCTTCTCTTTCTTGTGAGAATATAGGTGGATTTAATTTCATTTTGATTCATCTGTACAAGTTCTAACATTCATCAAAGATTCAAAGTACCCAACTGAACTAGGGCCGGTTAAACATTAGTATTGTTTTTGGAGGAAGAAATATTTAGTCTTTGATTATTTTAATTTAATTTTAAAACGATAATTAATTTTTTTACTCAAACATTCTTAACCATATGTTTAATTTACTCTAAATTATATGATAACATGTATCTAAATATTTTAAAATTAAATTTATTTAAAAAATTTAATAGAATATCGCCGGCTATTATTAATAAAAATGAAAAGAAATGAGAGCCATTAATAGCTCAAAACCACGGTTCGCAAATCCACAGAAATAACAGTATAAACGTGTATATTTAGTATTTGATTAAGTCGGTGTTAATGTCTATATATTTTTTATAATTATAAGTATTTAACCTATTAATTAATTAATTTGAATTAAATAATATAAAAACAATAATAATTTTTTAACCTAATTTCATCTTTATTAGTCCATTAATCGACTAATTCAAATTATATTTAAAATTTGATTAAGTTGGAATCGCATACTAATAGATACCAATTTCGTCCTTATTTTAAAAATATGCCCAAGCGAGTAAACTGAAGATTAAAAGTTTTAATTTGAGGACAGTTGGTTGCCGATGGCAAAATGGCCCAAATAATCCAAGCGAGTAAATTATTTAGCTTAATAGGACGATTCAAAAATTATTTTGAGATATATATTAATTGTTACGGTATTTGTGGAACTTGTCACGTCCTGTAACGAGTTTCATAAAATGTATTAAAAATTGGAACTCGTCACTTGATATGAAATAAAATTGTATGAAACTAGTCACGCTCCTGTGACGAGTTTCACGTGTACTGCTGTAAATGACCTAGATCCTAAAATAATTCTCAACCATTCCTATTTAAAAAAAATCGTGCTTGTATTATTTTCTTAGTTTTGTCATTGCCGATAGATTGTTTTATAGGAATGTCTAAAGAAAGGCAACCTAGTTTAAGACTAAGTAAATGTGCAATTGTAAATATTAAACTTTTTTAACATTTTCGACTGAGCATAGCCTGAAATGTTAATCCTTTAGCATTTTTATAACCTAAAATTTTTTTAACATTTCCGGTGGCAATAAAAAAATGTTATAAAAAATGTAATATTTTCGATTGTTACCGAAAATGTAAAAATATTAACATTTTAAGTTACGAAAATGTTTAAAAATTAACATTTTAGGTTGCGCAGATATAGTATTTATGATCAGTTGCAGTGCAATATAAAATTTACAGCACCCAAGACTTTAAAGTAGAATTAAGAGTCAATTATGCATTTAGTACCTAAATATCAATTTTAATCTATTTTAGTATTTAAACTTTTAATTTTTTAAAATCATACCTAAAGTTTTTTTTTCATTTTAATACCTTCGTTTAAAATTTAACTCATTTAGTACCTAAACTGTCCGTTTTAATACCTAAATTTTATTTTTTTTTCAAAACTTAAGTATGATTTAAGTACTAAATGTGTTTTGGTACTTAGACTTTCATTTTTTTTCAAAATTTAACTGTGGGTACTAAAATGAAACAAAAATTAAACTTTAGGTATAATTTTTAAAAAATTGAAAGATTAGATACTAAAACCAATCAAAACTAATAGTTTAGGTCCTAAATGCATAGTTTACCCTAGAATTAATTACATAAAACAGTTCAATTCAGCAGCACACACGGACCACGGTTGTACTTGTAAGATCCACAGTTGAGTTTTCTATCGTTCTTTTCGGCGATTTTAAATCCCAGAGTTTCCGGTGGTTTGGTGCCGGGGTTTCGTTCCGGGGTGCAGGCCTTATAAGACGCACCTCTCCCACAATCTATTGCTGGTTTATCGCGATTGCGTGTTCCGTCAGTCACAGGGTCACCACTTCTCAGGAATCTACTGCTATGAGAATCCATAGGAACTCCAAGTCGTCGTCGTCGGCGATGATCGAGTTGCTGCTGTTGGTTTTCATCAACATAGCTCTAAAGGGATTCACTGAATCCCAGATTAAAAGCACAAAAATTGCACAAGAGAGAGATCTTTTCACCATTTTAGCTTCCATGTTTTCTTTTTTAAACTCAATTGCTCCCTCGAACGTCAATGACAAAGCATAAACAGGTCGTTTTAAGCTATTCGTTTTTCTTTTTTCTTTATCGTTCATCATTATGTCGGTGAATAATTGAGATGGTTAGAGGAATAGCTTCCCACTAAGCATTGATGTTACACCGCACATATACAGTAGATGAAAATCACTACTACTTTAATGGGGCACATGCCAAGCACCAATTCCTATCTTCGACCACATAATCAGAAATGGCTGAAGAAACAGTCTGCACCAGCAACAAAGATTCTAGATCTTGGCAGAAATTAGGGATTAATCCATCTGTTATGATTGAAGCATGGTTTTAATGATGGTGTGTGTTGACTTCTGTTGACCACCTTGGATTTAGATGATATAAAATTTTATTTGAATTTAATCACAAAATATATAAATATTAGTATTTTTTATAATAACAAATATTCAATTAATCGAAATTATCTAATTTAAATCGGATATTACATCGACTTGTTGTGGGATGATATTTTTAATCTAATTTGTTTCCTTTACAAAGTTAATGTACAAACCTTATATCTTATTTGAGGATTGAATCTCATCTCACAAGATTAATTGAGTTATTATTTATATGGTTCTGGTTATGTGACTTATATCCCTAGTAACTTTAAATATTTTCGCCATGGGAATTATTCTAACAAATGCAAATTATACACTTTTTTATTTTGTATTCTAAACTACTTTATTCTTAATATGTTTTCTAAACTATCGTTTTCGTTTTATTTTATTATAAAAATTATTGACTTTCAATAATAACATATCACATGTCAGTTTTTATTGATATGAAAACAATAGTTCGAAGGGTAAACTAAGAAGAAATAATTTAGGGTACAAAGAAATAAAAATATATATTTTTAAGGAGAAACTATGAATGAAACCTACTAGAAAGTAGAAACAGTTGAATATGTCTTTCACCTTCTGCATAAACGGTCGAATCATAACTTTTTTAAGATTATCACGATACTACAAACTACATCCATAACATAAAAACATAATTATTTAGAAAATTAATCACATCGTAAAGGTCGTAACATCCACAACTATGATATTGCAGCTGCAATGACAACCACAATTGCAATTTAGTACTATTAGCACGATCCCCCACGACGATTGTAGACCGAAGGATGTTCTGGCTTACAGGTTTTCTGGTTTTGATTCGGAACGCAATAAGGATCACTTGGTAATCTCTCACATTTTGCGGGCAATGTCTTAGCATAAAGTGAATTGTAAGATGGCTTTCCATTCCCTTGGAGGAATCTACTGCTAAAAGAATCCACGAGGAACTCCAAGTCGCCGTCGTCAGCGATGACGGAGGTGCTGCCGTTGGTTTCCACTGACATAACTCTAGAGGAATGGCATAATGCAAGCACTATAATCGCAAGACAGAGAAAATGTTTCCTCATTTTGGCTTCCATCACTCTTTCAGTTCTCTTTTCTCTTCCAAGTTCAATCAATGAAAAAGCTTGAAACATGTCTTTTTATGGTCATGCAATGTATATACAAGTTGTAACAAAGACAACCCACGTGAATCGATTTAACATTTGAACCTCCATTTTAAAAGTCCAATAACATCAAAATTATTGTATGCAGACGCTAATACAATGAGAAAAATCCAGTAGATCTTGACCAGCATGGAATCGACCACCCAAATGCATAATCTACGTCCCCTCTTTGTTTGTTGTCACACTTTTCCTGGCACGTGATTCCTCAAGGAATGGGGATTGTATCTGAAAAGGAATGAGATCAGAGAGTTGGCAACTTGACATCCACATAAGTGCTTTAAGGGATAATTTCTCTACCTCTTATAGATTAGATAAAATTGCATAAATAATCTTATAATAAAAAAAGATGCTTTGGAATGTTAATTAAGGGCCTAGATGACAAAACACTGCATTCTTCTGAAAACCACCGTTATTTTAAAAACATATATATGATAAATAATATATTTAGATTAAATATACGATATATTATCCAAGTATTTAGATTCCCTTTGATTTATTAATGTTAGAGTATATTTTCAAAATTTGAATAGTGAAGAGGAAGAGAAGGAAGAGCAAAATAATATATCTTTGTTCCACCTTGATTAAATGATAAATATTGTAGATCAAATTAATATAAGGTTTAAGTTTTTATATGAACCTAGTCAATTTCAAGAGGAGTTCATGAAAAATCAAACTAAAAAGAAGAGGGAAGAAAAGATAACGTTTTAACACCGATTATGTTCAATAGTGATTGAACATAGGTGGAGAAGAGGCAGAGAAGAATGCCAACCAAGAAGAAGAGTGTTAAAAGTTTTAGGTTAACTTAAAAAATAAAAAGTTCTAACACACAATATTTTAATATCGGCGCTAAACACTTGGTGCTCGAATGAAAAATAAAAGAGTGAGAAATTTAAAAGTTTAATGATAAAATTAAAAATTTTGAAAGTTAAGTGATAAAAAAATACACTAAAATTGGTGACCAAACATGTAACTTATCCGAATATGATTTGACTGGGTCTAAAAAAGATTGCTGAGGAATCTTATACAGCCCGTGAGCTTAAGAAATGTTGGGTCTAAAAAAGTTCTGAAACTTTATGTCTCTGTCCCTTAGCTGTATCTTCTAGGGATTCTTCGGTGCCCCCACCTCTGCCACTAACAACAGAACAATGGACACATTCGTCATTGCCAGCATACGATCCACTTGGGTTTCACTACATTTCTCCTCAACCAATCTAACGGCTTCTATTTGCTTAAAAAAAATATTACTTGTTCTGTTAATTTGGCCATTGACTTTGTCTGATTTTTCAGACTCTTGGGCGTTCTTTGAGGCCAAAGAGAAAGGAAAATGAAGATTGCAGGACTGTCTTCTTTTTTGTCTCTCTCGGCTGTTTCACCCTGAATTCAATTATCTGAGTTTATCATCCTCGACTATACACCATGAAGAATTTCACCAAAAAGCTTTCAGTCTTAACCCTTTTCCATTTCACCTTCCTCTACACCCTAACCATCGCCTCCTCCGATGGCTCGCCTAAGCCTTACACGCCTCATGACAACATCGCCCTCGATTGTGGCTCCACGGCCAACAAAACTGATCTTTCAGGCCGATCCTGGATCGCAGACAACACCATTTATTTAGATCACTCCAATAAGGTATCTGTTATCTCAACCTCTCCAGCACAGGGAAACCCCATACCATATGCAACAGCCCGCCTGTCTCGCTCCCAATTCACCTACTCGTTCAAAGTCACACCGGGACCAAAGTTCATTCGCCTTCACTTTTACCCAACTTCATATCACGAATTCGACCGATCAAGTTCCTTTTTCGATGTCCATGTTGGTGGATATACCCTCCTACGAAACTTCAGCGCTGCCCTTGCTGCAGATGATCATAAACTGGAGGTCTTTTATCTTGAATTTTGCATGTATGTTGATGAAGGAAAGCTGAACATACTGTTCAGCCCGAATCCTAATGTGCCGGATTCTTATGCTTTCGTGAACGGAATCCAAATCATGTCCATGCCCGGCGACCTTTACTATACTTCCGATGATGATACGGGGTTCAATTTTGTTAACCAGGTGAACCCTTATAGGATCCTGAAGAACCAGGCTCTTCAAACTTTATACCGAGTGAATGTCGGCGGCAGCTCCATTTCACCTGAAGGCGATACTGGTATGTATCGGAGCTGGTTCGAGGATGGTGAATACTTGGCTAATGGTGGACCTAGTGTTCTTCCTGTTAATCTTAGCATTAACCCCAGTTTCAGCGTGATACCAAATTACAGTGCCCCGACCCCAGTGTACAAAACAGCCAGGACTATGGGGACTGACAGAAATGTGAACGAGAACTACAGACTCACTTGGGAGTTCCGAGTTGATGTCGGGTTCACTTACTACGTCAGGCTACACTTTTGTGAATTCCAGGGAGAAATATCAGAGCCTGGCGACAGAGTATTTCAGATTTACATCGACAACATCGTGGCCGAACATCAAGCCGATGTAATTGCTTGGGCGGGTGGACGAGGGGTGCCGGTCTATCGAGACTACGCCGTGATGATCGGTAGAGCGGGAAAGGAAATGGAAAGGAACCTATCCGTTGCAGTTCACCCTGCTCCGGCTTTGAGGACCAAATACTCGGATGCTATCTTGAATGGGGTTGAAATCTTCAAATTGAGCAATGAAGGCAATCTGGCAGGATCCAATCCTCAAGGAATACATATCAGCCCACCTATAAAATCTCTTCCACCACGGAGGCCGAAGTACAATATCAGACCCACATTCCTCATTGTTGTCGGAATTGTATCGACCTTTGTCGCGGTTTCTGCTCTATATATCTCGATTTTCCGACCGAAATCCAGAGTAGAAGGATGTTCATCATGGTACGAACTCTCAAATAAGGATTACTCTTCGGTGGATAGAAGTGGTAAAGTGTACACTAGTGATGGCAAACATTCCAAGGATACCAAGGAGTGCGCTATCCTTTAATGAAGTGTTTGCTCAATTTTACTAGTCTAGTTTCTCATTGTCTATAAGTTAGAGGGCTTCTAAAACATGTTAAAGCTATCTAAAGGGGATTGTCTTGTTTTTTTCCCTTTCTTTTTGAATCAAATATGTGAATCACTGAAAGTTGAAGATATATTTTACTGATAAAATATTTTCTATGAATGGTTAAAGACTAATATAAATTTGATTTTACCTCTATTATGAGTGTATAAATGTAAGAGTATTGTATTAACTTTGAAAGTAATATTCAATTTTAACGATTTTAAAATAAACATATTTTTTCATTGTTATGTTGGAGTCTCTCGTTGTTGATAACTTGATTCAAACACCGTAAAATGATTTCCATAAATTATTTTTTAGGAAATGTAATTCAATTTAAGGAATTCATTTTTTAGAATTTGTTTTCCGTGAAACAAATGGACCCTAATTTTAAATTAGTTGAGAAACGATCATGAAGTGTATTTACATACAGGCTTTCATCTTATACACGTACAAGTCCAAATCAAAAGGAATAAGTCATTATCGACATTTACAACTATCATCTCTCTTAAACACGTTTACAATCCCTTAAAAATCCTTCACACTTCAATGGAGAACTTTATAAATAAGTAAATTAACTTTTAACTGGTAATATAAATGCCTCTTAACAACCCAAAAACACTCATGAGTCGACCATTGAAATCGTTGACTCATTAATACACTTGGTGAACTACAAAGTCAGTACTCTTGAAATTTCTTACATGCGACAAGTCTGTGGAAGAGTTAGCCACAAATGCTGTTTTCAGTCTTTCACATCCTTAGCTGGTTTATCCAGTAATCCTTAGCTGGAACATATAGATCGCTGTTGGATTTGATATTCAATCGACCTTCAAGCATACTCTGCTATAAAACTTTTCAAAGTTGCGCGGCTTCTATGACACCACACTAAAACAACAATGCTTTTCTCAATTACTATCGTCTTCCTCGCCCTTTTCTCTTCAGTTTCCACAACAAGTTCAGCTCCTTACACTCCTACTGATTACATACTTCTGAACTCTGGTGCTTCATCAAACACTACATCCGATGACGGAAGACAATGGACTGCTGATGCCGATGACGACCGACATTCTAATACTTCTTTTGCATCCATTGCCTCCTATCAAGAACCCTCTGTCACTGAAGTTCCTTACATGACAGCACGTATCTTTAATGGTGAATTCACATACAAATTCCCCGTTTCACCGGGCGCCAAGTTTCTTCGTTTATACTTCTATCCAAATAAATACTCTGGCCTAGATATAACCTCTTGCTTCTTCTCTGTTATTGCTAACAATTACACCCTCATGAGCAATTTCAGTGCCTATTTACTTTCTTCTGCAAGTCCTCCACAAGCGTTCATTGTCAAAGAATTTGTCATCACTGTTGGTAACAAGCAGATGCTTCATGTCACCTTCGCCCCTTCACCGGATTCTTTCGCTTTTATCAATGGGATTGAAGTCGTTTCGATGCCTGAAAACCTCTACACAGGCCAGACATATGGCTCTGTTACCTTATTGGGCACCAATTACTTTTTAGAGCTTGAAAACACCACTGCTTTAGAAACTGTTAATCGGCTAAATGTTGGTGGAAGAGATATTTTAGATGTAGACGACTCAGGGATGTTCCGGACATGGAATCAAGATGTTGAATATATCTTCGGGGCAGCATTCGGAGTCACGGAGCCTTATCAGCCTAATGCAACAATCGGATACACCGAGGCCACACCGGTGTATATGGCACCGGAAGTTGTGTACGCAACCGCTCGTACAATGGGGCCGACTGCAAATATTAACTTGAACTACAACCTTACTTGGCTTTTCACGGTTGACCCGGGGTTTTACTACCTAGTTAGGCTCCATTTTTGCGAGACCAATCTGCAGTATGTGAATCAGCGTGTATTTGTTATATTTATCAATAATCATACCGCTGAGGAAGCCATGGATGTGATTAGTCGGAGCGGTGGTAATGGCATTCCAATCTACAAAGACTATGTGGTATGGGTGCCACAAAGTGTAAATGATTTATGGGTGGCATTACATCCACAAACCAGTGGTAAACCACAGTTTTATGATGCGCTTTTGAATGGTTTAGAGATTTTCAAGTTGAACAATTGGGATTGTAGCCTTGCTGCTCTGAACCCTCGACCGGAGATGGTTCCTACAATGCAAAAGCATTCGATGAAGACGGGAAAATTTTCAAAACAAAAAAGGGTCATCGTCGGAGCTACACTAAGCAGCATAGTATCAATGGTTCTGATACTCGTTTTCAGGCTGAGGAAACATCTTTTGTCCAGAACAGAATCCTTAAACAGAAAAGAAGTTTCACCTATCCGATGCAAGCACATCTCACTTGTCGACATCCTCACCGCAACAAATAACTTCGATGATGCTCTCATTGTAGGGCGCGGAGGCTTCGGGAACGTGTACAAGGGTCACCTTCCAGGTACACAATACGATGTGGCGATCAAGAGACTCAATTCCAAGTCCCACCAAGGTGAAAATGAGTTTTGGGCGGAGATTGAGATGCTCTCTCAGCTTTGCTACATTAATCTTGTGTCCCTGATAGGTTATTGTGACGAAAACCATGAGATGATTCTTGTTTATGATTATATGGTGAATGGAACCCTCCGTGATCACCTCTATAACAACGATAACATCCCTCTCCCATGGAAACAGAGGTTGCGAATTTGCATGGGTGCAGCTCGTGGATTAGAGTACCTTCATTCAGGAGCAGTTAAGAGAATCATTCACCGAGATGTGAAGACCACCAATATTTTGTTGGATGAGACATGGGAAGCTAAAGTCTCGGATTTCGGGTTATCTAAATCAGGACATGTCCTCATGGAAAATGTTCCAATCACAACAATGGTGAAAGGCACATTCGGATACATGGATCCCGAGTATTATCGGAGGCTAAAACTGACAGAAAAATCAGATGTATACTCATTCGGAGTGGTGCTATTCGAAGTGTTGTGTGCTAGACCAGTAGTCGACACAAGATTGGAGGAGGATCAAATAGGTTTAGCTGGTTGGGCTCTCAAGTGTGCAGAGAATGAAACCATTGAGCAAATCATTGACCCTTACCTGAAAGGTAAGATAGCAGCAGAGTGTTTGAGAGTATTTGTTGAGATTGCCAAAAACTGCCTACACGACGTCGGAGTTGAAAGACCAAAAATGAGCGATGTGGCGGGAATGCTTGAGTTTGCACTGGAGTTGCAAGAAACTGCAGAAACAAAACTGATGGTCATCGAAGCTGGTGATACAATGGATGGGCCCCATACCATGGATGAGGTTGTGTAATTTTCTGATGTGGTGTCTTTGTAAACGAATTAATCTTCGTCAATTCAATAGCCTCCACTTTCTTCATGTAGTCTAATCTAATCAATTGGAAAATGAGCTGGAGCTTGGGAGAGTGCCAAGGAAAATGACTTGTACGGTTTTACTTCCGTCAATTAAACAAATAAGCCTACCAATTTTTAGATTAAAAAGAAGAAAAATCAGGACTTTCGTGGTGTTTGTGTATGGTTTGGTTTATTCCTACCGACACCCCACAGCTATTCGGCCTCCTCAATAATACGTATCAACTACGGTTCCTATTCCCTGCTTGCTTTCATTTCTTACACCAACTACGTAAAATAATATCAAAATTCATCGATTTTGAGTACTAATTTGCATTATAAAAATGATTTCATATACCTCATTCACCATACCTACAATATCTAATTCGCTAATTCTTTTCCAAGAAAGAAGCACATAACTAATAAGCATTGACCTTGGGTTAGTTCACTGCCACTGGCAATTGCATCGTTGTTTCAATTGATAATTTTCCAAATTTTTTTAAATCAAAAAAGGAGCTTCATTTAGACTTTAAGGTCTATATTCTGATTGAAAATTTTAAGAGATAAAAATAGACTATCAATATAAAATAAAAAAAAAATACTTAAATTATATGAAAATTTAAAATTTTTAAAAAGAACATAATCAAGTCAATCCCCTTAATCCATCCCTATCTACAATGATATTTGTGAGTCATATTTATTTTCTTTATCATTTGATCAAGTCTAGATTCAACTACTCCCTAACCATAACTATTTCCACACCATAACACATAAGTAACAACAAAAAAATAAACAAAAAATGCTGTCTCTCTATTGCTCAACAAACTAGTTGAAAGCTAAGAAACATCTCATCTGCTTACATCCAGATTGCATATCTTTCGGTGTCTGAAATTGAGTCCTCAGTTTCGAGCAGTTGCATTTGCAGTACACGTGCATTGTCAATACGTCCACGGGGATCGAGCCACTCCATTTTGATGTCTGCTCAGTTTTGCAGCTCCAAAACAAGCTCTAATGTCGTCTCCACTTCACCGAGAGCAGGTTGTTTATGTTCCTGAACATGGACGCAGCTTAGAGCAATCTCCAGAAATTTCCCTAAGCAACTCGGAGCTATTTTCCCTCTAAGACACGGGTCGACAATCTGATAAAAGGTTCCGTTCTTTATGTGTTCATTAGCCCAAGGAATTATATGTCGATGATCATGAAAACCCGCATCAAACTTTATTGCTTTTCTACCACTAATCATTTCAAACAACACAACCCCAAATGAGTAAACGTCTAATTTGTCTGTCACAAGTGTAGCATCAACGAAAAGCTCAGGAGCCAAATAACCCAAAGTTCCAAAGAGCCTAGTTCGACTTGTTTCTATTTCGATTTCATCGAGAGGAGGTAGCTCCGATTTCATCGAGAGGAGGTAGCTCAATTCTGATCGGAGCTTTCGATAAACTAAAAGGACCGATCTTGGACAATGTGTAATCGGCAATCTTGGCAACCATTTGGTCGTCCAAAAGAATGTTTCTGGTCTTGATGTCACGGTGGATCACTGCACGCTTTGCTCCAGCATGGAGATAGTGTAATCCACGAGCTACACCTATGCAAATCTCTAGTCTTTACTACAACCTTACTTGGCTTTTCACGGTTGATCCGGGGTTTTACTACCTCGTTAGGCTCCATTTTTGCGAGACCTATCTGCAGTATGTGAATCAGCGTGTATTTGTTATATTTATCAATAATCATACCGCTGAGGAAGCCATGGATGTGATTGGTCGGAGCGGTGGTAATGGCATTCCAATCTACAAAGACTATGTGGTATGGGTGCCACAAAGTGTAAATGATTTATGGGTGGCATTACATCCACAAACCAGTGGTAAACCACAGTTTTGTGATGCGCTTTTGAATGGTTTAGAGATTTTCAAGTTGAACAATTGGGATTGTAGCCTTGCTGCTCTGAACCCTCGACCGGAGATGGTTCCTACAATGCAAAAGCATTCGATGAAGACGGGAAAATTTTCAAAACAAAAAAGGGTCATCGTCGGAGCTACACTAAGCAGCATAGTATCAATGGTTCTGATACTCGTTTTCAGGCTGAGGAAACATCTTTTGTCCAGAACAGAATCCTTAAACAGAAAAGAAGTTTCACCTATCCGATGTAAGCACATCTCACTTGTCGACATCCTCACCGCAACAAATAACTTCGATGATGCTCTCATTGTAGGGCGCGGAGGCTTCGGAAACGTGTACAAGGGTCACCTTCCAGGTACACAATACGATGTGGCGATTAAGAGGCTCAATTCCTAGTCCCACCAAGGTGAAAATGAGTTTTGGGCGGAGATTGAGATGCTCTCACAGCTTTGCTACATTAATCTTGTGTCCCTGATAGGTTATTGTGACGAAAACCATGAGATGATTCTTGTTTATGATTATATGGTGAATGGAACCCTCCGTGATCACCTCTATAACAACGATAACATCCCTCTCCCATGGAAACATCGGTTGCGAATTTGCATTGGTGCAGCTCGTGGATTAGAGTACCTTCATTCAGGAGCAGTTCAGAGAATCATTCACCGAGATGTGAAGACTACCAATATTTTGTTGGACGAGACATGGGAAGCTAAAGTCTCGGATTTCGGGTTATCTAAAACAGGACATGTCCTCATGGAAAATGTTCCAATCACAGCAATGGTGAAAGGTACATTCGGATACATGGATCCCGAGTACTATCGGAGGCTAAAACTGACAGAAAAATCGGATGTATACTCATTCGGAGTGGTGCTATTCGAAGTGTTGTGTGCTAGACCAGTAGTTGACACAAGATTGGAGGAGGATCAAATAGGTTTAGCTGGTTGGGCTCTCAAGTGTGTAGAGAATGAAACCATTGAGCAAATCAGACCCTTACCTGATGTTCCTACCACCAACACATGTGTAAGCCTTAAACATCTTTTGAAGGTCTCTTATTTAATAAGGTCAACATATAATGTGCTTCAGAACCGGTATTTCCCACGGAAACTTTAACTTGCAACAAAGACATCTGTCGTGTTGTAGATTTTGAAGCTCCGTTGAATCAAATCGTACAACTCATCTTTATTAATCTTGGCGAGGTAGTCTTACGTGTGCAGTTTGGATGTATTTTTTCTAATAAATCTACTAAGGGATATTGTTAAAAAATAATTAATGAGATTTGTAATATAATATTACCCTTGATGTAAATAATTAATGGAAACTGAGCTGGACCTTGGGAGTGTCAAGGAAAATGACTTGTACAGTTTTACGTCGTCAATTAAACTAATACTTAATCAGTCAAGAAAGTATAAGAACAAATAAGTCTACCATTTTTTAGATTATAAAGAAGAAAAATCCCGACTTTCGTGGTGTTTGTGTATGGTTTAATTTATTCCTACCAACAACCGACATTCTAGGATAGCTATTCGGCCTCCTCAATAATTCGTACCAACTACGGTTCCTTCTCCCTGTTTGCTTTCATTTATTATACCAACTACATAAAATAATATCAAAAGTCCTCGAATTTTGATTACTAATTTGCATTATAAAAATGATTTCATCGACCTCATTTCGTGGTGTTTGCTTTGTTGTTTCATGATCAATTTCCATTTATTTTTGTTAAAAAAAAGGGTTTTTTATTAATACAAAAAGCTTAGGTTAAGAATGAGTCTAGAATCAAGGTCTACTTAAAATCTAATTAGAATTTATATATGAATTTACGGATTGCCCACCTAGAGTACAATGCTAGGATTCGAACTTTACATTACAAATTTAAATTCTTGAATGATAATCACGTGTGTAAATACTTATCCGCAATTTTGTTTACACTTTAAGGTTTAATTCTGGTAGAAAAGAAATAAAAAAAAGCTTTTAACATCGCTAGCATGTAGAAATAACAAAGTTTAGAATGGCATTTGTCCAACAGAGTTATGTACTTCATGATTTGATCAAGTGTTAGTCAACTACTCCCAAACCATAGCTATTTCCACACCATAGCACATAAAAATAACCTAAAATGCTCTCTCTCTATTGCTCAACAAACGTTGCTTGCCAAAGAAGGGGGTGAAAGCTAAGAAACATCTCACCTGATTACACCCAGATTGAATATCTTTCGGTGTGCGAAATTGGGTCCTCAGATCTTAAGCTATCTGCACAACTCTTCCACGTCTGACAATATCCCATCAGAATTGCAGCTAAATGAATACTCAAAGTCAAATTCTCCATGGGGATCGAGGCACTCCAACTCTTCCATGTCTGACAATATCTCATCAGAATTGCAGCTAAATGAATACTCAAAGTCAAATTCTCCAAAGTCAAATTCTCCATGGGGATCAAGGCACTCCATTTCGATGTCTGCTCTGTTTTGCAGCTCCAAAACAAGCTCTAATGTCGTCTCCACTTCACCGAGAGCAGGTCGTTTATGTTCCTGAACATGGACGCAGCTTAGAGCAATCTCCAGAAATTTCCCTAAGCAACTCGGAGCTATTTTCCCTCTAAGACACGGGTCGACAATCTGATAAAAGGTTCCGTTCTTTATGTGTTCCTTAGCCCAAGGAATTATATTTCGATGATCATGAACACCCGCATCAAACTTTATTGCTTTTCTACCACTAATCACTTCAAACAACACAACCCCAAATGAGTAAACGTCTAATTTGTCTGTCACAAGTGTAGCATCAACGAAAAGCTCAGGAGCCAAATAACCCAAAGTTCCAAAGAGCCTAGTTCGACTTGTTTCTATTTCGATTTCATCGAGAGGAGGTAGCTCGATTCTGATTGGAGCGTTCGATAAACTAAAAGGACCGATCTTGGACAATGTGAAATCGGCAATCTTGGCAACCATTTGGTCGTCCAAAAGAATGTTTCTTGTCTTGATGTCACGGTGGATCACTGCACGCTTTGCTCCAGCATGGAGATAGTGTAATCCACGAGCTACACCTATGCAAATCTCTAGTCTTTTTTTCCAAGGGAGGGGGTGATGATGAGTACCATGGAGATGATCGAAGAGCGATCCCTGGCTCATGTAATCGTACACTATGATCTTCTCGTCTTCCTCATCGCAGAACCCGATCATAGGAACAATATATTGGTGGCGCAGCTGGCAAAGTAGCTGCACCTCATTGTGAAAGTCTTCGAGTCGTTCCTGTCTTGAAGATCCGGCCAAAAAGCGTTTCACAGCGAGAACCGATGCCCCATCGTCGAAAAACCCTTTGTATACATCTGCACTGCCACCTTTACCGATAACCAAATCGGAGTCGAAGTTGTGGGTAGCAGCTCTGATCTCGTGGAGTGAAAATCGAAGGCATAGGTGTTCTGGAAGTGATGATTTAGCTAATTTCCCACTGCTCTTCGGGTGTTTGATCTTCTTTAGTTTCCTTTCAGATACTTGACAAAAACATAACAAGGATTGCAGAGGATTTCTCATTAGAAAACCAAGATCATGAAGTATGAGACAGAGGATCGAAATCCAGCTAGTAAGCTGTGTGAACAATCATATGCTTTCAATTTGATTGAAAATGTGAACAATCTTCTGCCAAATAGCAATAAGATGACGTCCAAGCCCTGGCTGCTGCTTCTCAGAAGCAACCTGGATTATTCACCAAGAATGACCAAGTCAAAGGGCATTTATGACACAACAATAAATTTTACGCTATTAACAGAATGAAATTTCACAGATAATTCAGTTTTAGTATTTTACTTTTTTATTATTATTGATATTTAATCTATTGATCAACTAATCTAAAATGAATGTTGTATAAGTTTTAAAGGGCATATAAGAAAGATTTTCTCAACTCAATTACTTTATTCATAATCTTAAAATTCGAACATTTAATCTTATTTAAGAGATCATTGTGACGGTACAAAATTATCTTTAATCGAACTTGTTGTTATAATGTCTCAATGATCAATTTGTAAATAATCAAAACATTTAGCGATGATTTTATAACTTTAAAAAATTCAGTAACCAAAATAATCATTTAAATGTAATTTAATGATTTATAGTGTATTTTATTAAAAAATTTATAAAAAAATTATTAAATAATTATGTATGAAGTAATAAAAAAATGTACATAAACTTTTAATCATGTGCTTAATTGTTAAATAATAATTTGTAATTTTTTTAAAAAAATTATAGAATTATGGAAAACACAACACTCTTATAATATAACATATAAATGGGAGTATTTGAATTTATTATCATTTCAAATTATTCAGAAAAATAACAATATTTTTATCTGAATTAATATATAAATTTAATTAAAATTTTAAATATTAATATAGATAACAAATATAGAATTATTTACTTTTTCTTTCGTTTAGTATCTCGTCATTGAAAAACTTAGCGGGACTCTTATAACATGACATTTTGTTATGTGTAAATTATATTATTCATCACTCAATTATCTTCTGACTCTTGTTTTGGTAATTGAAGTTTATTTTTTTAATTTAATTACTTAAATTTTAAATTACTCTTAATTTAATCACTCTAACTTTCAAATTTATTTTTATTTTAATTATATACTAAAAAAATAAAAAAAAATGTCATGTCACAAAATTATTAATAAAATAAATCATAGTGATTAAAACATGAGCAATTTGTAAGTTTAGTAGTTAAATTGAATTTTTTTTAAACTTTAGTAACCAAACTAAGAGTGAGAATATAGTTAAATGATGAATGTTCGGTATGATTGTGAAACAAATAAAAATTTAGGTACTAAAAAGAAATAAAATTAATAGTTTAGGTATTAAATGTGTAGTTTACCTGGACTTTATTAGAAAATGGTCTAGGTTTGATTAACAAATTCCAAAAGTGAGCAAAAGAAGAGTGATCGAATCGGCAACCTGCAAGCAAAAGATGAGCAGTCGGCGAGGGCCACCGAAGCACCAAAACAGTTACGCCTGGAAGCCAAACGCCGGTGTTAAAATCAACGAGAAGGTAACAAAATACCACCATTTGGTTTAATCATATATTTTTGTATTGTATTTTTAAATATTTCAATTTTTTTTCTAATAGGAAGTTGGAGGGAAGCTAAGGCCTTACTCTGAAATAACTGGAGTTTGCCCTCGATGCAGAGAACAAATCGACTGGAAGCGTCGTTACGGTAAATATAAACCCCTAACGGAGCCTGCAAAATGGTAAGTATTTCTTTTAGAAAAATAATGGTTTTTTTGTGGACTCTTATAATATTTATTTTTTGGGTTTGGTGTTTTTGGCAGTCAGCTTTGCACCAAACGTAATGTGCGTCAAGCCTATCATAATCTTTGTTCTGGTTCGTTTCCTCTGCTATTAGTTCTTTTCTTGTTTTGATTCCACAGTTTATTGTCAAATTGAGCTAAATGTATGTCAAATCTCAATTGTAATCTTTTATGAAAATTAATCAATTGGATTTGAATATTTTGTTTTAGGATGTGCTAAGGAGCAAAAAGTATGTGCAAAGTGTCGATGTCATGTTGATCAAATAGTTGGGAGGTTTATTTTTGAATCTTTTGAGGAACTTTTGATTTCTTGTCTCCAATGCATATATTATGGGCAGAAGGTCTAACATTGAACGTGTGATTGTGTTGCTCGCACAGGGATTCTGCAGATGTGGAGGAAGAGCAAAAGATGCTTGAAGAGGTTGGTTTGGTGCAATTTTTTCGGTGTGGTTTTTTTTAGATGTTACATTTGTGTCTATTGATTTTCCTGAATGTTGTTTCAGGCAATTAAAAATGCTCGAGAGAGGGATAGAAGAACATTGTTACGAGCCGTAAGTGTCCAATTACGACTCCTACATTGCTTTCAGTTTTTTCCCCCTAATTGTGAGTGATTTAAGTACGAGTTTCTTGATTTAGGTTGAATTTTTCTAACTTTTAAATCATGATTATTGATAAGTTCTAGTGAATCAAGCTCTGTGTTGTTTACACCTCTATGCTAATTTCTTGACATGACTCGTGAAAGAAAGAGTTAACTAAATGCTTAGAAGTTATATAAGTCTTTCTTGAATTGGATTTACATTGATTGAGATGATATGGTTCCTTTTGGAAAGACCCAATGGCGTGCTGGTATTTGAACCTTAGATCCACAACTGCTACTGGCTGTTACCTACTTCATAAAAAAGATATATCCTTGTTAGATAAACAATTCAGTCTTTGTCAGCTTGATAAGGCATGCGACTTTCTTCTTATGCCTCTCATGATTCAGTCCATTGTTTTTGTTCAAGGAAAAAGGTAATATGCAAAATTTGCCTTCAGTATACCTGTGCATCGGCAAGTTTAGAATTGAGATCCAAAAATTTAAACATATGTTATGTTATTTTTAAGTTAATTGTTTCTTAGCTGAGCAGGATATATGTACTTGAAGTTATTCTTGATATATCAACGTTGTCAATGAACTTGGTATCTGATAGCTACTAATATGTATACCGTACACTTTGGCAAAGTAAATTACCTAAGTACGATAATTTGTTATTCCCTGGTAATTTATTCTGCCAAATGCCTTAATGCTGATCCACCTTTTGCTTGTAACAAATGAATAAAAGTAGTTCCAAAAGTTCATCGAAAACCACAGCCAACAAAGAAAATGGTAGGGTGGGTGAAATTTTTCCTTCTACATCACTTGAGGAATATGCCAAGCTAGGTAGAAAAGATGGTGGAAATCATGATGGTCAATATGACTCCAAGAATGATTGCATTGGTGACCACGATGATGATGATGAAGATGAAGATGGTGAGGATGATGCTGACAATGAAGAACCGAATGCGTAACTGAGAAGCCTGTGAATAACTGGTGAGAAAGAATCTGTGCATACAGCAGAATCTTTAACATTATTTATTGACCTTTTCTCCAAGCCGTTTTCTACTCAGCTATCACTATACTAGCAGGTTCTGTGATGCCCTTTCGGCTTCAACAAGTTCTTACAATTTTGTCGTAAGATTAAAATTCCTAGAATGTAGTTGATTGTGATGATATTACTTGCATTTTCTCTCCTTTATCCATTAGAACTTCCTAGCTGAAGATGATACTTGGTAATTCTTGTGGCATGGATCTACTTCAGTCATTAATCTTTTACTTTTTAATTGTTTCCTATTCCAAGTAACCTTTTTAACTATGCAATTATTGCTTTACTTTTTTAATTTACTTCAGTCCTGTAATGTGTATGTGTCTGCTTGCAAGCATCCTAACAGTTACAATCATACTTCATAAGCTTCAATTTTTTTCTATTCCCAGCTAATGTTTAGAACCATCACTTCCACGAAGAAATTAAAAAAAACACCAAACAAAATTGAATCAAATCCAAAGTTGAGTGACCAAATTTTGAACCTATTTATAATTGAGTGGTCAGAATGTAAAATTTTAGTTAATGCTATAATGATGGAATGATTTTTTTTGGTTAAAATCAATAAATAGAGTGATTGGTATAATTTTTAAAAGTATAGTAATCTAATTATAAATTATTCATAATTAAGTGATCTCTAGTGTTATTTAACCAAAGCTGTCCCTTTTTTTTTAAATGAAAAGGACAAACGGAAACCTAACGGGTTTAGGAGGGCTTTTAGCACCCTTTGGAGACTGAAAGATGATATAGCAATTAGCATCCTTTGCTCATTTGAGAATATTGATGCTGCTAAAACGAAAAAGACCGACTTTAGTAAATTAACAGACAAACCATTACCAAGCATTGCGTGGGAGCACCGGGCAGGAAGTCAAACTCCATTGGCATAGGTTGTTTCTCTATAACGCACGACAAGCTGTTTATATTATAAGCTGTCATTTTCTGTTATCTCACAAACAACTGTCACGCATCCATCTATTATTTTCCCCATTGAAGCAGACATCCATGCACATCATTTTCTGTCCACCTGCTTTTTCTAAGCAGATCGTGTTCCATACGCCAATTTTTCCTTTAATTATTGTTAAATACATATCATGCGTTCTACTTTTTAATTTAACTATTTTTTCCCTTCATTATATCATCTTGGTGTATGCAGATTGGACAAAACCATTAACTAAAAAGTAATGTTTTGAGAAAATGAATTTGGCATATGCGTTCAACTATTTAAGTTGGAATATTTGGTTTTATTAATGGTATTTTGATTCTTTAATGAATTTGGTAAATGGGGTTTCTTTAACTGTGTGAAATATCTTCTTTTATGGTTTTCGAGTCTACTTTTTTATGTTTATGGTAATGGATTTTGCCTGGGATTTAACTCTGTAAATTATATTCCATAATAGGCTATGAATATTCCATCAAAATCTTGTTCAAAGAGCTTGGCTTTGTTTGTCTTTATCTTGTGATAGTGATAGTGTTTAGTTAGGAGGGTTGAAGAAAAATTCAGCTGTTAATGATGAGATTTGAGTAATTAATGGTCTATACATAATATTCAATCTATTTAGAATAATAACTTTCCTTTCACTTGAAGAGAACTTGAATATGTTTAACATGCAGTTTCAATGTCATTGGTTTCATTGCTTGTTGTGGACGAGATTAAGATTTACACAAGTTTTTGAGGTAAATGCTAGCTAGGCCGTACCATTGGTTTGTTATTTACTTGACATTAATGGTTTAATCAGAATATGATTTTGCTGTTTCTGCCTAGTGATTTTCTGATACTGGTTTGCTACTTCAAATTCTTAGCTAGTGTATATTTTATCATAATGGATGATTAGGCATTGAAAATGTATGTGTTTGGTATAATTCTCTCCTCTAACTCATTTTCAGAAGCCTATGATCCGTTGGACCCGAATGGAAATATCACAATCAAATGGGAGATCATGAGTTGGACCCCTGATGGTTATGTTGCAAGTGTTCTTTCATCTGTTATTACTTATAAATGCACGGGCTTGTGTGCGCATGATGTTTGGATTTGATGATTTTGCTATCTAGTGTGGGGTAGTATGATTGCGTTGTAATTTCGAAAATCTTTTGAGCTAACGCTATAACACTGAAAATCGTTTAATAGGGAGAATTAAAACTTTTGGCTTTGGTTAAGATTTGACAAATGGAGAAACAATGGTTTGGAGAATGGGTGTCATTTTGGCTTAGGCATGATTTATTTATTGTCCCCATTGGCTGAAACTGTGATTAAATTCTGGATAAAATGAGCAGGCAGTTATCACAATGTATAACTTCCAGCAATACCGTCATATCCAAGCACCGGGGTGGACATTAGGTTGGAAATGGGCTAAGAAGGAGGTGATTTGGAGCATGATGGGAGGGAAAACAACCGAACAAGGGGATTGTTCGAAATTCAAAGGGAACATTCCACATTGCTGTAAGAAGGATCCGACAGTTGTGGATTTATTGCCGGGAACACCTTATAATCAGCAGATTGCGAATTGATGTGAAGGAGGAGTGCTAAACTCTTGGGTGCAAGATCCATCCACCGCAGCAAGTTCATTCCAGTTGAGTGTTGGTCAAGCCGGAACCACAACTAAGACTGTTAGAGTTCCTAAGAACTTCACTTTGAAGGCACCAGGGCCTGGTTACATGTGTGGACCCGCAAAAATCGTGAAACCCAGTAGATTTATGACTGCAGACAAAAGAAGAGTCACGCAAGCTTTGAGTAAGTTATTCACTTTCTTTTAGCTGTTCCACATGTCAAATTTCTCATCGCTAAACTTGGTAGAAATGGCTTTCCTTCAGGACGCTCATTTTGTTGACATACAACATTAATTATTATACCATTTGAACTTCTATTTGTGTAGATGGTTGTAATTGACACTGCTTCTTTATGACAGTGACATGGAATGTTACATGCACATATTCGCAATTTCTAGCTCAGAAGACGCCTAGTTGTTGCGTCTCGTTCTCATCCTTCTATAATGAAACCATCATACCTTGCCCTCAATGTGCTTGTGGCTGCCAAAATACTTCTCAGATGGGGAGTTGTGTAGAGTAAGTTAATTCTGCCAAAAAAAGATTATAATTATTGCCCGGAGTATGTTTGTTGGAGCTGATTATTATCTCGATTCTATATTGCCTTTCTGAGCTTTTCATTTTCAATGTGCACTCCAAAAGCTCCACATATAGCGTCGGTTGTTCCAGCTACAGGGAAAAACAACTTGGCACCTTTGGTCCGATGTACAAGCCATATGTGTCCGGTCCGAATCCATTGGCATGTTAAGCTTAACTACAAGGAGTACTGGCGAGTTAAGGTTACAATTACCAATTTCAATTACAATATGAACTATACTCAGTGGAACTTAGTTGTGCAGCACCCCAACTTTGACAATCTCACTCAGATTTTCAGCTTTAACTAAAAGTCTTTGACCCCATATACAGCGATAAGTAAGTTCATTCGATCTTGGCTTTTCTCATTTTTCGTACTTTTTGCATCTTACCAATAAGAGTGAAATGATAGTGTTTACACATCTCTGCTCAATATTGTTGTTTCATGGTAATACATTGCAGCAAATGTTATTTTCTTTGGCTTCGAAGCTGTTGAAGAATGAAATTGCAGATTCTATTATTTTAAAAGGTGAATAAAGGGTAACTTTTGTTGAAGCAACAGATGATACGGCCATGTTATGGGGTGTTAAATTCTACAACGATTTGCTTTCACAAGCCGGTCTGCTTGGTAATGTGCAGTCGGAGCTACTTTTCCGTAAGGATAAAGCAACTTTTACTTTTGAGAAGGGTTGGGCTTTCCCAAGAAGAATCTACTTCAATGGAGATAATTGTGTTATGCCACCTCCCGATGCCTATCCTTGGTTGCCTAACGCCAGTTCCCACCAGTTTATCTCCACACTTAGTCTGTTGACAACTCTCGTGGCTGCAATGGCATTTTTATTCGGATACGCATAAAGTCCAACCATTTTTTATACTGCAAAATCTGCTACAATTTTTTGACGGAATCAGTTCAAGTGTAGAACCACGCACGGCTTGCACGGTGAGAAGTTCTGGTTTGTGCTGTTGTGTGATGCTTGGCAGTTCAAGCGAGAGTAAAGGTGCAGTTGTTTCATTTAAATGTATGGGTCAGTGGATTCACTATGATTTTATCAGTTGTGCTGCTGTATGCATGTCCATTTCTGTATTTAAACCAGTAACCATCTTCATTGTAGAACTCTCACCATTTTTATTACAGTAGTAACAAACATGGCATTAACCGAGAAACTCATCTATGATGAATCTGTCCGAAGAACTTTTGGATTTGTATAACTCTGTTCTTGCTGAAATGTCCAGAACTTTGAATACAACAACATACAGAAGTATAATTTTATATTAGGGATAAACTTATAAAATTTTAGGAGTCGGAATCAAAGGTCTAGCCCCGCAGAATGCAATTTTGTTGCATCTCTAATCATGACGGGCGCAAACATTTAAGTTGTATATTAAAATTTTATAAAATTTTAAGAGAGATGAAATAGTTTATCGAAGAAAAATATAAAAAATATTTAAATTATATGAAAATTTAAATTTTTTATAGAATACGATTATTTTTAAATATCCTTGAACCATCCTTTTTCGTAATTATAATTTATCACCATTAAAATACTGAAACACACACGGGGTTAGCCAGCTCCCATGTGCAATAATACACAAACAATATTTTGAAAGACTATAATTTATCACCATTAAAATACTGAAACACACACGGGGTTAGCCAGCTCCCATGTGCAATAATACACGAACAATATTTTTCTAATTAAAAAATACAGTAATTAGTAGAAAATGTTAAGGTGATGATATTGTCTTTACATGCAACAACTTAGATTAATAATTAGCTGATTCTTTTTTCTTTAAAAAAATCATTTTTAGGATTATTTTCTATACTATCATATGATTCATATCCAATAAGATACAAAACTTTGTTGTCATGATCTAAAAGTCACTTGATTCGTGTAAATTTTTATTATTTTTAAATCCGTCAAACATCGCATATTAATTAATTATGATCACATGAAGCAGTTAGTTGCTTTAGAGCACAAGGAGGGCTAAACCATTTTTCATACGATGCATCATGGTATAGCCCTCGTTATTGATTATTTTTCGATAACTAGTTGCATTGGAGCACAATGAGAATGAGGGCTATACCATAATGCACTGTGTGAAAGATGGTCTACAAAGATCAGCTAAGGTAGTGATTAAAAGGTGGTTTAAAATTTTAAAATAAGGAAAATAACAAATACAAAGGAAGAATCGTTTGATAATTATACGTTCAGCCCTTTGCAACCATAGTGGCAATGAGCATCTAGCTTCCCTCCATGGCCCGACATATTGGCCTAAACTCGTAGGCCGATGAACCATTCATCTTTCCTTTGTCCATCTCAATAATAGACCTTTTGTTTTTCTTCTGAATTCATCGCTTTTTCCAAAGTAATATGTATGTATCATCGTGTCTTTCATTAACTTTCTTGAGTTCACGTGAAGGACTTGGGTTACATGCTTTGTCATGTCACCAATCAATTTATCTTATTGAAAATGCAGTTTGTTGTATCACCTCTGGATATCAAGAACCCCATAAAATATATTCGCGTATTCACGATGAAGGCCTCAAAAGAGCAACTTCGGTCTCCGGAGCCTTATCTATCGGGAAGGCATAATCTTTCAATGCGACCTCTGATAGATCCATTTGAACCACAAGAAGTTATATCGGGAAGTCATAACCTTTAGATATCACTCTTCTTTCTTTTACCTCCTTATGGAGACAGAATATCTCAATACTGACCAACAATCATTCTTTAACTGGTTGTGTGCCGCTTAAATAAAAAGAGATGAACTGTCTATGGTCGTCGTAAACTATTTGTTCTTATCAGCACAGTTTAATTTACACACACTGCAAAAGAGATATATGATTATATAAACTAATGTTAATTACAATACATTAATACTTACCAATTTTGCCAACCGATATGCCAACTGAAACTTGAAGGAGGACTTGGTTTAAAGGACTTAAAAAAGTGGAATAAGGCGTGTATGATCCAGCTTATTCGCAATATCCTAGCAGGTGAAGGCTCATTGTGGGTTGCATGGCTAAACAACTACGTCCTCAACGATAAAGACTTCTGGCACATTGATAGCGGTACTAATACCAGCTGGACCTTAAAAAAATTACTAAAACTAAGGAGTGAAGCCAACGTTGTTTTCTCAACCGGAGCAACATATCAGTTCGTGCAATTTGGGAAGAGACTAGGGTTAAGAGAGACAAAGTTCACTGGAGTAATCTGATTTGGTTTCCCCTCCACATTCCTAAACACAGCATGATCACTTGGATGTCTATTTTGGACAAACTTCCTACTAAAGCTAGATTATAACATATGGGTATTGCTACTGATGGTTTATGTGTTTTATGTAAAGAAGCACAGGAAACAAGAGATCACTTGTTCATGGAATGCCCACTAGCAAGCTCTCTATGGAAGGAAATCTTACTACTAACCGGCTTGCGGAGATCTTCATTGTCCTGAGATCATCAAATGTCCTGGGCATGTGGTTCCTGGACAGATAACTCCCTCCTAATAAATATTCTGAAGCTTGCATGGACTGCATTTATTTATTCTCTTTGGGAAGAAAGAAACAAAAGGTTATTCCGAAGAAGCTCAAGAACTGTTGATGAAATCCTTAAAGCTATTAAGGAGTTTGTTAGAATTCAACTAAGAGATAGGATAATCAATAGAATAGATAAAGTTGATATCTCTCTTTGTATCCAATAGGGGTATTGACTAACCTTTATGTTGGTTGTTCATGCTCCACTTTGGTTGTTTTGATGTCTATACTGTATATATATCTGTTTTGATGTTTGTTCTATAGCAGTTTACTGCTCTCTTTTGGGTAATAATATTCTTTTATTTATCTAAAAAAAACTTTGCGATCATGAGATAATTAAGCAATCTTTTGTGGGAAAACCATGTGAGGTGTTGGTTGCAATCTTCGGAATAACAATAAAAATGCAAACACACTCTTAAACGTTTTAAAAAAGCTATACCCTGAAGTATTAAAAAAGATATCAGTTTGGTCCTATGGTGATCCTAAGAAAGTTTTTTTTCCAAATAATATGAGGTGATTACAAAGTAATATCTATTTATAGTATCTCTTAAACATTGACAATTTGCACACTCTTAAAAGTACAGTAGGCACTTTGATTATCCAAGCTGAAATTCCCAGCTCAAAGTTTCCAAGGAAAAAAGATGGACAGCTACAAGTCTCTTGAAGTTAATAATTGGAAAATAAAAGAAGTCAACACGAGAATCATCAAATTTCATGCTTTGAAAAGCTGCAATGAAATAGAAAAAAAGAAAACGGGAAATAGATTTCATAAGAGAAACAAACATTTATATACAAACACCATAGGCATTGGGAAAAAGGAAAAGAAAAAAAGATGAACATAAATGATAAAGCATTTTTCGCATAATCACACGAAAAACTTGAAAAAAGAAAAAAGAAAAAGAAAACAAATGTTTTGGGGGTGACTTAAAGTGTCAAGTACTTGTCAAAATGTCTGCAATGTGCAGCAAGGACGAGTTTGATACGAAAAACCCACGAGGGGGCAACGAGCAGTTGGGGCATTGTCGAAAGGTTTAGTCCCACAAGAGCTACGCTTTGATCCTCGTTGTGGCCAAGCAGCGCCACCAGATCACATGCTTTTTGGTACCCTTTTTTCAACATAAAGTTACCTAATGCTGGGTTAATATATATATATATATATATATAAACAAGATTGACAAAGAGAAGAGAAGGAATTAATGAAGGAATTAATATATATATATATATATATATAAAACATATAAGTAAAGTGCTAACACTTCGTGGCTGTGGGGTGAGATAAGGAGAAGGGAGTCTCATGTCCCATGGTAAAAGGTAATTTGGTTCCCTTTACACGTTCCTAGGCATTCGATCATTGCCTGGTTAGCCATTTTAGACCGGTTTAGCACAAGAGATAAGCTTTTGAGAATAACTATTTTGGTCGATCCTAATTGTGTGATTTGTACTGCTGCTTTAGAGATTAGAGATCATTTATTTTTCAATTGTCCATTTTCGTGTTGTGTTTGGGTGAGGTTTCGAGACTTTGTGGTTTGAGAAGAGATGTTACAGATTGGGAACGGGAACTTGTTTGGGCTGCTTCTTGTTTGAAGGGGAAGTCCTCGTTGGTTCTCATTTTGAAACTTGTCTGGTGTGCTCATATCTGTTATGTTTGGGAAGAGAGGAATTTTCGCCTATTCAGGGGTAGTTCTCGGATTGTGGAGGAGACTGTGGAGGTTATAAAGCAGGTTGTTAGGGTGAAGGTTAGCAGCAGTTGGTTTTATTGCTCGGACGTTGTAAAGAGTAGGCTTTGTATAGCATGGGGTATTCCCTAAAACTTCTGTTGGTGATCCCACTTACTTTGTAACTTTGTAGCGGTATTCTGCTTCTTGGTAATACAATTTGAAACTTATAAAAAAATGTTAAAAATCCAATCAAACATGATACAAATAAACACCATTATTAATCAATGATGAAGGATAAACATCATTAATCATAACATAAAAAATGCATTTAATAGTGATAATTCGTTGACAAATTGGTATTATCACAACTTAATTGTGAACTATCTTTGATAATTGTGAGTGTTTATTAACGTCGAGTTTGATGCTCTATATCCAAGATAGATCAATATGATAACCAATTAAACTCAATCTAAAAATATGACATCAAACTCAACTCTTAAAAAATTATGTGTTATAAAAACAAATAACATTATATACCATTTTAATAACAGTTGATACCAATAAATTTGGATAACTATGGCTTAAGCATAAGAATGAAAAGTGAAAAGAAAATGAGTTGACATGGAAATCGGGGAATTAGGATTAAGGAATGATTTGAAATGACAATAACAATAGTATTAAAGCATAATTGTTTGATTAATGAAGAAAAGGATCATAATATGACTGCTCAATATTACATGAATGATTGGGGTAATTCTGTTTTACGACAGTTTTAATTGGTTAAGGAAATATTAATATTTTTTAATATTTATAGTAAAGCGTTACCTAAAACATTATTTTTTATCGGAAATGTTAATTTTGCTATTTCCGGTAGAAAAAAAAACATTTTAGGTAGCACTCAATATTAACATTTTTTGTAAAAAAAAATAATGTTTTAGGTAGCGTTTTACCGAAATATTAAACATTTTAGTAGCGTCCAATATTTAACATTTCTGGTAGAAAAAAATAATGTTTTAGGTATCGTTTTACCAGAAATGTTAAAAATATATATTAACATTTCTGATAGCGTCTTTTCTTAGCCGTATATTAAAAATGTTGTACCTTAGACATCTCGAATGATTGAAGGTCCTCCAATATGGAATTATTAATCCAATAATGGTGGTTCCAGCATTCATTTATAATTGGAGGAAACTCTATGCTAATTTGCCAAATGATTTTTGTTTTATGTATAAAGTCAGGATCCCAGCATTGGCCCATTTAACACAGCTATGTAGAAAGGCATCTTACACGCTCTAGGAAATTTTCTTCAAATCAATAATAGTGCTATTACATATAGATTCGCATGGTTTTTCTCATCCTTTTAACATGATTTCAATCTTTTGGTCGTTGTCTTTGTTTATTTTATAAAAAAAAAATTAAAATCGTTATTACTGATCAAGATGACGTTTATTTATTATTATTATGATATTTCTTGTTACCCTCATATTAAATTTGAATATGCGATTTGCGTCCGTAAATAATGTTCTTGCGTCGCTCGACTCTAATTGCAATAACTATTTTTTGTTCGAACTTTTTGATTAGATTCTTTAACCTTTTTTTTGTGTGGCCCTTGTGATTTTAAGTGATTAGTTTCTTGTTCAATAACTATAACAAAATGTTATAATTATATGTTTAGTCTATAATTATACCTGTAAACATTCATTATAATTTTAAATATTTTTATTTTTAATAAAACTAACTTGTATTCTATAAGAAAAAACTATCCAATAGTCATTCATTTTCAGCGCACTATCAATTTATGTACTTAAAAAATATTATAATTGAGCCATTCAAATTTTAAATTATTATCAATTTTAATAATACAATTTATAAAATATGAAGGGAAAAAAAGTAGAAAGACAAGAAGATAGGACCAAATCTGTTGGCAAAATGACGAAAAGAAAAAGGCAAGGAAATACTAAAAACACAAAGACAAAAATCAATCAATTTTTGAGTGAATAAAAACAGATGCACGTGGACACAAGTAACCACACGTGCACTCAATCATCATATCTTCTCAACCCCACAAAACCAATCTCTTTCCTCTTTCTTCTGTGATCGAATTGAGGTGAATATAATATTAATTCTCAAGTTAGGGGCGAGCAGGCAAAAATCCAACCATTCTAACTCATTACATTTCAATTTCATAAGTCTTTCAAGTTTCACAGTTATTTCAGTTTAGATTTAAATATATTTTTATTATTGATTTGTTTGTTTGTGTGTGATAATAATTGACTCTAATTATAGTTATGTAAATGTATTGATTGTAATTTGAACAGGTACCTTATCAGAGAAAGAAAATGGCTAAGCATGCGCTAATAATATAGGTAATTCAATTTTGTTTACATGCTAATTACTCATCATTTCATTCGGACAAAACATCCATCCACGCCTCCACCTCTACATATCACGAAAGAAATCTCATTAAATGCAAAACCTTCGTTCCGGAAATTCATCAAACACCTTACCATCATCTTCTTTGCCGATGAAAAACTATTTGTCTGCGCCAGTTTATCGATTAAGATTGCTCATGCAAACAAGTAAGGCAACATTAATTTCAATCCTACGGGACCTACTGGTACTTGGCAAACATATCCGTTAGTAATAGTATCATTCAGATAAGTTGTATGAGTCTAATAATAACACATTGCCGACAGGGTCGGTCCTAACATTTTAAGGGTCCTAAGTAAAATAAAAAATAATGACCCCTAAAAAAATAACTTGGGCCCCTAATATTAATGTATAGTGGAGCATGGGGCCTGGATGCTTCGTCTGGTTCAGCTTCACTATCACCGTCTTCCAGCACTTCACCCTCGGTTTCTTGTCAATGGATCTGCTTAAAAGCTAAAAATATTTTCAAAAATGGGCCCCTCTAAACCGGGGCCCTAGGCGGTCGCACCCCTCGCCTACCCTCAGGGTCGGGCCTGATTGTCGAGTGCAAGCCAATTTTCAATCAAGTAAAATCTCTTAACCCGCTTACTTTTTGTACTTTTAGTGTAGGGTTTCAATCATGAACTAAATTGAAAAAATAGAAAATTTGTTGTAAGAAAAAGAAGAATTAAAGTTATATATGTATTCTACACTGATTTAGTAGAATGTGATTCAAATTTTGTCAAAAATGACCTTAAAATGCATGAAGAATTGAAAAAAATAAAGAAACTAGAGACCAAATCACAAAATCGTCAAATTTATTAGCTAAAATTTTCATTATTCAAACTGTATAAATTTAAATTCGATTCAAACTCAAAAAAAAACCGTTTTCTCTCTAGGGAATAATTGTTTTCTCTCTCGATAGCAGGTCTATTGATTTTGGGTTTTAGGGTTTCTTTCCCTGGTTTTCATCGTTCGAATCTACTGAATTTGCTGAGATGGATTCTGTTTGACTGCTCTTCGGCCATGGATTGGAGGAGTTTATTTTATGGCGTTGAGGAGAAATCGCTGGACTTCTTCCCTCCGGAGTGCTGTGAGGGTGCTACGACGGTGGTTCCTCCGGTTGATGTTTTTGAGGAGGGGATTTCGGAGTGACAATTCTCTCTGGTGGGGTAATTTATTGGGTCGGCTCCCAATTTTGGTTCCTTGCAGAAACTGGTGGAGATTATGTAAGGAAATCGATGGTCAAGGTTAGTCTGGCTGGTTCTAACCTTTATGTTTTCTCATTTGTTAATGGGGCTAGTCGCGATTGGGTGTTTGAGAACGGCCCCTGGCATATTCAACACAAGTCGTTGGTGCTGAGAAAGTGGGAGCCTAATCTAAAGCGGCTTGATTTTAATCTGGAAAGGATGCCAGTTTGGGTTCATCTTTTCAATGTTCCTCTTGAACTGTTCTCCAAGAACGGGCTGAGTTATATAGCTAGTGCCCTAGGTGTTCCATTGTACATGGACTCAATCACGGCTGCTAAGGAACGACTGGAATTTGCTAAGGTTTGTGTTGAGGTTGAGGCTGGTTCTAGGTTGCCTCGTTCGGTTGCAATCAGATTACGAGATGGGTCTATTTGTACTGTGAAGGTGATCATTCCTTGGTTCCCTTCGTTCTGCTCTAAATGTAGAATATTTGGTCACTCGGATAAGATGTGCACTGTTGGTGGAGTTGAAGGAAGGAAGGAGTGGAGAGTTAAGGATAAGGCTCCTAAAATGTCATACAAATTGACTGTGTTGGGTAATTTAGATCAAGGGAGAGTAGAAAGTAGTGTGGGACTACCTTTGGTTGAAACTGGTCTGCAAGCTAGTATAGAAAAGGAGAATGTTGGGCAGAATCATGCTGCTGATAATGATGTTATTGGGTTAGTTCTTGAGAATAATGAGAAGGCAGGGGAGTTGTCTCTTAAGAAACAGTTAACTACTGCTGTAGTTAATGATATGTCTAGGCCAGTTCAAGTTGATAATGAGAAGACTGGGGAGCTTTCTATGGAGATTCAATCAGTTGTTGGGCAAACAATGACTAATATGTTATCAAGCAAGGTTGCTGGATGTTTCGTACAAGGGAATTCTAAGGGGGATGATGCTTTGCCTCTTGATCATGCATCTAATCGAAGAGGTAGGGGGAAAAAGGTGAAAAGAATAAGGGGCATGTTGGTGGCTCTTCTAACAAATTCGAAGTTCTGGGTTCTCTGTTGGAAGAGGTCGAGGGAGTGGGTAGGAGGCCTAGATTAGCTTCCCAGGGTGTTTCTAACATCCTCCAGGAAATGAAAGTAAAGAAGAAGGATAATCTTGATAAGACAAAGAAGCTTGGTGAAGTGGGAAGCACAAACATTATCTCTGTCTCATGACTGTGGTCTTTTGGAATGTTAGGGGATTTAATCATCCCAAAAAATATAAAAGTGTTATGAGTCGTATTGATAATATGCAAGCTGAGGTTATATGTTTGCTTGAAACTCGGGTTAAAGAGAATCAGTAGAAGGCTAAGGTTGACTGGCTACTTGACGGGGATCAGTGTACTATGTTCTTCCATTCTCAGGTAGCAGTCAAAAGGAAGAAAAACACTATTAGAGTCCTTGTTGATGAGGATGGGAATAAATTGGAAACTTTTGATTCCATGGCTGCAGAATTGGTGAACTATTTTACAAGGCAGATTGGTTCTATTGATGACAATGTGCAGGGGTGTTCTGCTTGTTGTTTTGAAGGGGTTGGGGCTACCTGACCAGTTTAGGAAATGGATTGTGGCATGTGTTATGGACTCCAGATTCTCTATTGTTTTGAATGGCAGCCTTGTGGGTTTCTTCAGAGGTAAAAGAGGAGTTAGGCAAGGGGACCCTCTATCCCCTTACTTGTTTGTCATAGCTATGAACATCCTATCCAAATTGTTGAACATTGTTGCCTCAGAAAAATATTCCAGTTTCATCCTAAGTGCAAAAGAGTACATTTAACTCACTTATATTTTGCAGACGATCTGCTTATTTTTTGCAAAGGTAGTTTGGACTCTATAGTAGGAGTTAAATGTGTATTGGATAGGTTCTATGAGATGTCTGGGCTTAGGCTTAATGCCTCTAAGACTGAAGTTTTCATTGCTGGTGTGAATGGTAATCAAAGGAGTTTGATTCAAGAGATCACTGGATTTACTATAGGTTGCCTTCCAGTAAGATACTTGGGGGTTCCCCTTGTCCCCAGGAAGTTGATTGAGAAAGATTGTGCTAGTTTAGTGGAGAAAGTTAAAGCAAAGTTGGAGCTTTGGTCTAACAGATGGCTGAGTTATGCAGGTAAACTGCAGCTGGTGAAGGCTGTTTTGTTCAGCATTGCCAACTTCTGGTGCAGGCAACTAATTTTGCCTGCTGCTGTTGTTAGGAGAGTGAACCAGCTTTGTGCCAGGTTCTTTTGGAAAGGAGGGGATGTCCCAGCTAAGGGAGCTCGTGTGAGCTGGGAGTTTATTTGTACTCCTAAGTCTGAGGGGGGGCTTGGTCTTAAGCATTTACAATGCTAGAACAAAGCATGTATTATGCTATTGGTAAAGGAATTGCTTATTGCTGAGGGATCTTTATGGGTTGCTTGGGTGAGATCCTATGTTCTTAAGGGGGTGGACTTCTGGTCTATTAAGAGCAAGCCTTCTTTCAGCTGGAGTATGCGAAAGATCCTGAAAACCAGAGATGACTTGCAACCTTTGTTCTCAGGTACTATGAATTGGGGCAAGGTAAATGCTCGCTGGATATGGCAGGAGATTAGGGGGAGAAGTGCGAAGGTTGATTGGCATAAGGTTATTTGGTTTCCAATGCACATACCAAAACACTCGCTAATTGCTTGGATGGCTATTTTAGATAGGCTGCCAACTGCTGATAGACTTGCTCGTTTGAGAATTGAGGTGAATGAAAAGTGCAGATTGTGTGAAGCTGTGTCTGAGACTCGTAGTCATATTTTCTTTGAATGCTCGTTCTCAAAGGCTATTTGGGAGGGAATTGCACGACTGTGTAACGTTAACAGAGCTGTGGGGACTTGGGAGGAGGAGTTTAGCTGGACAATTTCTCGATTTAAAGGAAAATCTTTCCCTATGTTTATCCTTAGAGTTGCTTGGTGTGCTTACATTTACTGTGTTTGGGAGGAGAGGAATCATAGACAGTTTAGGGGAGTAGTAGAGATATTGAAAATGTGATAAATTGTATTAAAGAGATAGTTAGAGTAAAAGCTGCTAGAATAGTGATTAAGAGCAGTGTGATTAATTGTAATCTTTTCCTTGCTTGGGGGATTGCTACCTCCTAGAAGGTTTGTTTTGGTCTGTTTTGTGGGATCTGTATTTGTTGTAGCAGTGTGTTTTTGTATACTGCTTCTTGGATAATAATATGAGCAATCTATCCAAAAAATTCAAATTGACTTTAATAACATGAATAATTCAAAATTAAAAAAATAGTTAAATCAATTCTATTCATTCTAATATCAACAAGTAATTTAATCTTAAATAAATATAAAAAATTAATTAATTAAAAACTAAACAAAATTAAGATCTGGGAAGGATAATTGGTCATCCTTTTCAAATACACTGCACGGACGCATGTGTTCGGACTATAATGATTGATGAATTTATGTGGGGGAATCAATAATGAAGAGAAAAATAACAAATGTAAGCAAGGAAGAAATTAAGTAGTTATCATATATATGTATATTCTGGCGGGAATTGCAGAAGAGAACAAAAAAGATGCCCTCGTGCAACAACTTTAATGCACATCACAACTTTATATTTCAAAATTTATTTATTTGTTTATTATTAATTTAATGGCAAAAGCCAAAACGGCAAATGAGACTCATGTGTGCGTGTGGGTTGATATTCCTCTCCTTCCCTTCTGCCTCCTTTATCTCTTCCGTATTCCAACATTTCATCTAAAATATGTACTAATCAAACGTTTTTAGTGATTAAGAAAATGGTTGTTATTCTCAAAGGTTTTATATTTAAGCATCAACGACGACAAAATATTTAAATATTCATTGTCAAATGATCGAAAGTCTTTGAAACATATATTACTACTTATAAGCACCTTATATTAATCGAAAAACTCGCGAAAAATTCAAAAATAATACATTAAATTTTTTAAAAAAAATATTAATAATATTAACATTTATATGATGATTTTTTTTAAAAAAAAAATGCAATATAAGATTTTCGTGTACCTAAGATTCAAATTAAAATTCGAATTTAAGTTTTAACAGAGTTAAATTTATGATTTTTTTTATTTCAAGCTTTTTCAAGCTTAAACCAAAGAATAAATATCATACCATCTGATAAATAATTAATAATTATCATACCATATCATAAATAATATAGATTAAGTTAAAAATATCATTTTATACATTATATTTCTCTCTCTATTCTCTCGTTTTTTTAATCATACTCTTTAACTATTATAATAAATTAATTTATCTAAATTAAAATAAGTAAATCGTCACCGACACAAAGAACCATATTTTTCTGTTATATAACAATAAATATATATAATAAACAATATAGTAATTTAATGTTAAAAGAATAATAATAGTTATTTTTCTATTTTTGTTTTTCAGTATTACTTTATCCTTGTTATCTGTCTGATTTCTTTCCTTTTCAGTTTGTTCTGAATATATTGATGGGTTCCATTCCCTTCTTTGCGTTCTAATCAAATACCAATCCTTGTGTCGGCAATATTTCTCTCAATTAAATTTTATCTTATTTCTGTGCAAATTATTAACATTAAAAGGTGCTTGCCATGCCATTTGTCACATGCTAGAGATGTCCACGAGCATATGCTTTTTTTAATACATAAATTTAGTTTTCTGCATTTTAACATATTCATTCGTGAATATGTTTATTTAATATATGATAAATAATTTAAAATGTAATTAAACATTTTCATGATTAACTAAAAATATATGTATAAATGATAAAGGAACAAATCATAAATAGATATAATTCTATTTTTATATTTAAAATAATTAAATATAAGTATTAATAATTTTATTGTAAATACGTAAAATATATATAAATTTTATGGAAAAATATCAAATGAGATAATAAACAAATTAATAAACAAGTTTATTGACGAATTTATTTATGAAAATAAATGAATACATTATAACATGTGTATTGGTTCAATTTTTTAAAAAAGAAATCATAGAAAGATATTATCGGTTGTCTATGTTATTTGTGGATCTAAGGAGAGAGATAATTA